AGGACAACTACTGTACCTCTTTATTGGGATTTAGTCAGTCTTTCATGCATTCATTGACAATCTGGCATAAAAAGAAATCCAAATACTTAGCCATCTCCATGAAGAAAGCAGGAGACAGCACAGACAGACTCATCTGGACAGATCTGGAGGGTTTAGCTTTGTAACTGAATCAGCTCCCAAATAGCCTCACTCATTCTTTCACTCACTCAACAAATACTTATGGAGCTGCCATGGTGAGCAAGGTGCGGTTCTTGCTCTCACGGAGCGTGCAGCAGAGTGGGGGAGACAGGCACACCACCACCAGGGTTCAACCGAGTCACTGTCAATGGATATTAGGCCCATGGTGGGAGCAGACACCTGACCTAAGTAGGGGTGACTGGGGGCGGGGGGAGAGTTTCCTTAGAAAGCTTCCTTCAAAGAGGTGACAGAAAAAATGAGATTGAAAAACTCAACAAGGCCCCTCCTTTCCCAAGTCCCCGGTATCAACATCACAAAAAAGTGACAAGCCAACCCCACACATCAGGTGCTTCTGGCTTCGATAAACTGAAAAGGGTTCCAGTCACTTCCATGCTGTTCCTGCTGACGTGGAGCAGATATGACTCTAATCACGAGGAAACAGCACACAAGCTCTAGGTGAGGACACTCAGCAAGGCAGCGAGCCTGTACTCCTTAAAAATTCAGTGTCCCGGAAGACTGAGGAAATGTTTCAGATTAAAGGAGACTAAGGAGTCATGCCAACTAAATGCACCACGTTGTCCAGGACTGGCTCTTGAACCAGGAAAAAATAGCTGGGAGAGGCATTACCGAGACAGGTAGTGAAATTTGACCATAGCCTGTGGATTAGAAAACACTGCATTAGTGTGAAATTTGCTGACTTGGTAACTGGAATTTGGTTCTGTCAAAAGTTGTGTTCTTACAAGATCAACTGTGGTGTGTTCAGGGCAAAGGGGCATAATGGCTGCAATTCACTTGCAAATAGGTCAGAAAACAATGTGCGTGTATGTATGTATGTGACAAAATGTTAACAATGATCTGGGTGAAGGGGAGGGGTATAGGGAATTTCATTGTACTAATTTGCAACTTTTGAGTAAGTTTAAAATTGTATCAAAATTAAAGGTGACTCCCCTGCCCCCCGCCCTGAGCAGCAGGTAGGTGGAGGGTGTCATTATGGTCCCTCTAGGGGGAGGGTGGGCTGTGCAGCTGTGGGAGGTGGCAGCCATGTGGCATGTGCAGGGAACAGGCAGTTCAGCTGGGACACAGGTTCAAGGTAGGGGCTCGTGGGAGGCCTGGGGGAGACAGAGGGGAGAGGTTTGGGTCTGCGCCTGGCAGGCCATGCGGGACTGCTGAAAGGCTGTAAGCGGAGGAGCATCAGGGGATCAGAAGGCCATCATAGCTTTGTTGGGGGCGGGTTTGGAAGGACAAGATGGCACAGGAGGCTGGGTCCAAAGTCTTACAGCACTTCAGGCCACGCCAGCAGCGCTGCGTGCAGGGGCTTCTGCATTTGCCAAGTGCTTCCCGAACACGCGGGGCCTGAGCAAAGGGCTTCCTTTGCTTCCAGGATGGGGGCCGGCAGCAGGGCCGTGCCACAGGGACAGAAGAGTTGGATCTCACAGACTGTTAAGAGGCAGGATAGAGGACAACTTGTAAAAAAGGGATTTTCCTGTGGAAGTGATGGCACCACCTGAGAGAAAGCAGTTTAGGCAGGGAAGAGGTCCCGTTCCCATGTCGAGTTTGAGGGGCCTTTCTGACACTGGGGGTTTGGCTCATGAGTCTCAGGCTCCTAGGAGAGGTCCGCAAGCCAAGGCAGAGCGGGTGGGCAGGACCCCTGGAGTCCGACTGCCTGTGTCCGAACTCTGGAGGGCTTTACTCCTTCTTACTAGCTGGGAGAGCACAGGCAAGCTGTTTATCATTTGTGCCTCCAGTTCCTCAGCTGTAACATGGTGATACTAGAACTTATCACGGCTGGTTGCCCACAGAATGAAATGAGTGAGCACAAGTAAAAATGCTTAGAAAAGCCCCCAGATCAGAGAAAGTGCTCAAAAGAGTCAACCGCCACAACCGCCACTTCCAGTTGGCCTCTCAGGCATCCACAAGAAGGGAGGAAACAAAAGGAAGGGGCAAGTGGAGCAGCACCACTTGCGCAAGGAAAAGGTTAATCGGGCCCAGGCTGTCCACCACGGGCTGCGGTGCAGGTGCGTCCTGCCACTCGCTACTTCAGGGCTTCCCTGGGCGGGGGCGCGGGGGTGGGGGTGGCGCGGCAGGCAAAGCAGGCCAGCTCACTGTGTTGCAGCCAGGCGGTGCCTTCAGGCTCCTGGGGAACGTTTTACAGTAGGGTTTTGTGAGAACCAGTGCTGCTTATTAACATGCAGATTCCTGGGCACAGCTCAGGGCTAGAGCCAGAAGATCTGGGGATGGTGCCCTGAATTCTGCACTTCACACACCTTCCTGCCCCTTTCCCCCACCCCACTCTCCCTCATCTTAGGGGTGATTACATTTCTGAATGCTGCCTCAGACCAAGAAATAATTGAAGTAACGCATTTTGGAGGGAAAGAACTAAAGACAGTTATTTTAATCCTGTATCTCAAGTAATCATTTTGGACCCTTTAATTTATGTAATTCAATGAAATATGTATGACTTTTTGGGGCCAATTACCACAGGAAAATTTATTTGGGTTCAAGAAAGAACAGTTGAGCTGTCCTGTTAAGGGACAGGCCACCAAGAAGGGTGGAGGTGTCCCTACAGCGGCCCCACCCGGGGCAAAACACTGGATTCATTCTTAAGATTCTTTCTTACTCTAGTATTATACGAGGCTCCATGAAGTACAGGAAAAAAATGAGGACCACACCTTTTAAACATAATTTCACAGTTCTAGGAAAAAATTGATGGTTTTAGTTGGCTGTCAAATGACTACCATATTTTGCTATATATAATATGGCCCCTTTTTGCCCAAATTTTTGAGGGAAAAATAAGGATGCACATTATACATGGGTATAATGATTATATACCATGGGTATAATAATCCCATGTATAATGCATGCGTGTGGGTACACTTTATACATGGCAAAACCGGTATCTTATGCAACAAGGAAAAGAAATATTCCTCAAAGTAAAATTAGGCTTTTCTGGACTAGGCATTGACATCAGGTTTTTCTCTTTCTTTTACAAGCAATAGCTTTAAAAATTCAACATAACACCTGACAGTGGGAGCTTTATATTCATTGACTATTCCTAACTAATAACTCTAATTACTATTATCCCCATTTTACAGATGAATAAACAGGCTAAGACCAGTTAGGTGACTTGTCTAAGGTTATCTTGCCAGAAAGTGGGTGAGTCTTGATTCAAACAAGTGCTAATTCCAACAGCAATTAACCATCATACTATAATTGATGTCCAATGAGTGAAAACATTTGATTAGTTCATACAAAATGTCTTGTGTGTGTATGTATGTGTATATGACAGAGGGACCGTTGGCTTTGTCTATCCACTGAGAGCACATTTCTCTCTTGGGAGACAAGACTAATCTAGAAAACACATTCTGAGTGTGGTTGGCTAGCTCTAAGGTGACCCACAGGAGGCCTTTTACAGCATTCGTCTAACTTAAAAGCCCAAACCATTTCACTGGTGTCTTAACAAAAGCAGTAGTTTTCATTTTGATGTTTACTCTTGGGGTGTGAAGTGGAGCACAGGCATGCATCTCCTGGTTGGAGTAAGCATTATCTTTTTCCCAATCTTTTTGCACCTTTCTGGCAATGCCGCGGGGCAGCCCTGGGAAGGGGTTCACTGCTATACCACTCAAGAGCAGCAGAGGGCAGCAAAACACTCATGCTGATTGTTACCAGGAGCGCCTAGGAATAAAGCCTATGCTTTTAAAATGCTTTCATCATTTGGAGAATTCTTGCATAGTACTACAGATTTAAAATGATAAAAATCCTTTAGTTGTTTCAACTTGGTATAATTCACTAAGCTTGCTATTATGCATCTAAGGGAAAAATATTTAAGATTGTAATTCACTCACAATTCCAGAACTTTTCATTTTGAAGCTCTGGCTGTGATCTATCATTTCACTTCCTTTTCTAGAACTCACCTAAGGGATTGCACATGAACCACACTACAGCAGCTCCAGGGCACTTGCTGGCCACTTCCCTTGGTTTGGTTTTGGTAAGCGCTTTCTGGTGGAGCTGCAATGTAAAACCAAGGTGCTCACATCTGCATGAGCCTGGAAGGTTTGTGCACATGTGCAGAGGAGGCTTGGAATATGTGAACCCAGAGCATGACAATTCAATTAGAGTACTTCCGTATTATGAGGCAGCAGTACCATTTGAAGGTTGGACAGATGGGCCTGTGTTCCAATCTCAGATTTGCCACTTAACAGTGACTTTCAGTTATTTAACTTGAGTATTCAAGTTCCTCATCTACAAAACGAGGGTATGTACCCACTTTTCTGTATGGTTGTGATGATTAAATAATTCATACTGATGAAACATCTACCATGTGCCATGTGTCGTTTTTAGAGTTGGTGATCTGGTGACTTAAAATTCTTGCTGTCACGAAGCTTACATTTCAAGAGTGTGACAGGTGATGGAAAGACAAGGTCATTTCAGACAGTGATGAGGTAAGGACAATAGACAGACTGGTGTGGGAAAGGTGCTGACCTTCAATGAGGTAAGTAGGCCAGGGAAGGCTAGGGAATAAGCAAGAGATGATGTGGGGGCTGCGACTAGGGCAGAGAGACTCACTTCCAAGGCCAGGGCTGAAGGGAAGCAGAGGAGAGGCTAGAGGCAGGTAAGGATCAAGATCCTGGAGACCCTGTGGGTGGGGGTGGGTGGAGACTCTGTTCACACAAGCGCAATAGGCCAGATGAGGGCTTCCAGCCAGACAGCGGCAGGAGGACCAGGAGGCAAAGGGTGGGACAGGAGTAGCAGCACTTAGCACACTGCCTGGCACAAAACCTGCTGTAGTTACAGATGGCTTATTAATTTTTAAAAATAACAGATGGCTTGCTTCTCAGCCTTGGACTAAGATCAAGCATAGTATCTATTCTTATCAATTTACTATCTGATACGTCTTCTATCCCAGGACACTATATGAAATGGACTTTGGGAACTAGGAGATGGAATAGGACATTGCTCCATCCACTCCACACACCAACCTGGTAATGCAGTACTTCAAGGAATGGTGACCGAAATAAAATTAATTAATAATAATAATATAAAAAGTAAAAATAACAGATGAGAAGCTTGGGTTCCTTTAAATGAAAAATAATTTCAAGTATTTTCCAGCAATAACCTACCCTTTCTTTGAATATATAAAGTGACAAGACACTCAAATTTTTTAAATGGGCTCATTTTCTTTTTGCACTTCAGAAGAGCTGCCCACAAACATTTGATGATCACACTCATTGTAAAAGGCTCAGGTAAATTTCACATGTACATTTATTTCTTTCATTATAAAATATACGTACATTACAAACATTTTAAAACAAAAAATCCACCACCTCATCACAAAAACTGCTTTAGCATTTTGTATATTTCTTTTCAGATTTTGGACAAATCTAAAATGTACTTAATCCTGAGCATTTTAAGCATTGTAGAGAACATATTTAAATGATGGTTCTTATTGCCCTAATTATTTTTGTTTTATATTTCCCTTTCAGCCAAAAACTGAGAACATTACATAGTTACAAAGAATGAATTTCCAATTTTCACAGCACCTGAATAATGTTATTTTTTATAATTCAGTTCTAAAATCTTGTAAAAAAGTGTCTAGGTGCTACTGACTTACACACAGACGAGGAAGTTAAATCAAAGGCCTACCTCTGCTCACTTAAAAATGTTTAAATGGTCAGGGTATGTAGTCTCCACAATTACTGGGAACCCAAATTCTCACTATGTTCCTCATGACCATCACCTGGAAAAGTCAACTAGTTGACAGCCAAAGAGCACATGTAAAATCATCTTTATTAAACAACAAGACTTTGCGATTTGAAATACCTAAATTTTACATGCAGAAAATGTGTGAAGCTTTTTACAAATTCCAGGGCATAAATAACTATTTTAGTTTTCTTTTTTTCACTTAATGTTTTAAGATTTCCTTTGTGCTTCTCATCTTTTAAGACGTAGGGGGGGAAAAAAGACCCAACTGTAATATGCACTGGCAGTTCAGGAAACATTTAGAAATGCACACAAATAATTTGATGACCACTTTTAATTAGGGGATAGGTAAATAAAGATACATTTGCCAGGACAGCAGACCAGTTGACGTGGTAGGTCAGACTGATGAAAATAGCCAAGAAAAAAAGGTGCCCTTAGGTTTACCAAGTTAACTGTGATTTCCAGATACTCCTAGAGCAAGAACATTTCTCAAAGTAGCACAAGAGTTTTACGGATTCACAACCCTCACTTTCATTAGCCAGGTAACATTCTCAGTCAACAGATAAAACCTCACACTGCACAAGAAAGTTCTGCCATAAGCAGCCTGATGAGAGCACACTGCTAGAAACCACAGCGTAAGCGTGCAAGCATTAAAGTAGCAAACCCACGACCTGAAGATTTTGGGAAAATATATAAAAAGGTAAATTTTGAACCAGAACTATATTGCCTATATGGAATGATTTGTTTTTTGTTTTTTTTTTAAAGTTCTTAAATTGTTAGATTTTGAAATGGCAGAACTGAAATCTAATTCACAGCAGAGCTAAAATTAGTAAGAATGTATTAAGTTCTTACATGTAAGCCAGCATACTTGGGACTCTCAAGATTTAATGCCGGATGAGTGGGGGAGTCATGTTAGTGAAGAATGCGGGAAGTTAGACTGGGGAGGTCTATGGAGGGAATAAACACCTGTGATTTGTTGGTTTGGGGTTACAATCTTCTTGAGGCCATTTAATCCTGGCTAAGGGGGTTATCTAGGGGCTGTGAGAATTAAATGAAAATGCATGTGGAAAAGCAGAGGCCGAATATACAGCTGCTCCATCTAAACACTATTCTTGACTGAAATATTTCTCAATGCTTTCTAAAATGCCAGTGTGAACAGGGTGAGTGACCAGAAAAATGGATTTCTGAAAAACAATAAATAAGACTGATTCTCTTTGGGTGGCTAACCGTCTAAAGTGGAAAGAAATTCTAAATTCCAAAAATGGAAACACCGGAACACATAAAACCTTTCTAAGTGTTCCGAGAAAGATAACTCTCAATTGGGTGTGCAGGTTCTAACAAATTTATTGCAACAACAAAAACTCCCTATGGCAGCCCTATTACTCTGGTTCCAGTTCATTATTAAACTCACAGAACTAGCCACATTTCATGTCCATCTTAAGACTTACTCTTTAGTTAAAGAAGACTACCATTTAACTTTTCTATTCAATAGAATTTAACTGTCACTCCACATCGAAGTCCAAAAACTACCATACACTTCCCCCTCACATGCTTCATGGAATGTCATGACAGTGCGGTGCTTTACGACAGCAGCAGCAACCACTCACATGGCTTCTTACAGTCTGGACAATGTTCTAAGCACCCAAAACTAAAACCCAGTGAGGTTATTCACCTCGAAGAGAAGGGGACTGGGATTTTGAACCCAGGCAGCCTGATATGAATCCATTCCATCTATAGCTTAGTTCTTTTTTCTGTTGCTGAGTAAACTAGATTTAAGGAAGAATCACTTAACATTGTATTAGGTAAAGGTATATAGGGAACAGAAGCAGAGGATTTGGAACTGACCCTTCAATTAATTTAAAAAGTACACACCAAGACTCCAGAGATAGCTGCCTTCTGAAGGTCACCATTGGTTAGAGGCCAGGGCTGACTCCGTCCTAGCTCTCAAGCTGAAGCATACTCTACCACCTCCCTTTGCGCAACCTCACAGAACTACCACTGAGCTTGGGTTACCACCAGAAATATTTCTGAACACAGTGCATGGACGAATGGCATTAGAAAACTGGCCCACATCTTGTTCTTTCTTTGAACACCTATGATGGGTTTCCACCTGAAAATTATGAACTAGGACCTGGAAATAAAAAGCAAACAAGATAAAAGCTCACAGTTCAGCAGGGAGGGACAGACTGAATGTCAACAAGACTAGAGATTGTCACAGGTGCCCCAACAGAAATCTATGTGAGGAACAGCAGGGGAATAACAAAAGCCCCAGTCAGATCATCTTTGGCTGTCATTTATCAATTTAACCTGTAATCCCAGTTCTATCACTACCTGGTTGCATAACCTGAAGAACAGATACTTCACTCTCATCTCTAACATGAGGATGATTCTTTCAACCCTTTACAACTTGAAAATACAATCAAACTAGGAAATTTATGTTGAAGAAAGTGTTTTTAAAGACTATGGATTTATTAATCAAGGGGACGTTTAAAGACATGTGTCATCATTAGAGATTAACTAAGGTGTTGTGGATAATTATCATATAAAAATGCAGTATCAAATTCCCAAAAATTATATATACATATCATAAACATTAACACAGAAATCAATTTATAACAAAGAGAAGATTCTTTGGAGTTCAATTGTGCTCTTGAATTGAGGGGCATTTACACACTATTGTACATATTCCTTACTGGGATTATCGGAACTTTCTGATTGCTGGATTCTGGAAAATCAAGTATTTGGAAGCTGCGCAAATGCTTGGTTTTATAAAATTTTCAGTAAAAAAAATTCCATTATAAACATTGTGCAGAGGAAAGAACGTTGAGTTTTAGAATAAGACAGCTCTGAATCCATTTTCAATGTGTAACCTTGAGCAACCTACTTAAACTCAAAAGGTTTTATTTTTTCCATCTACAAAATGAGGACAGTGTCACCTCCCTTCAATGAACTGCTGTGAAGGTTTATGAGATGAATGAGAAGTTCCAATGGAAAACGGTGCATGGTCTAGAAAGAACTGAGTTCCTGTCCTACTGCCTTAAAAAAAAAAGGCAGCTAAACCTTATTCTTAAATAATCTCTAAATCCCAAAAAGGAAAAGCTCCAGAGCTTAAAGTTACATAATTATTGTAAAAGTCTAGGTTTTTATATAAATAAAAAAGGATAAAATCATGCAAGTACTAATTAGTAAAGTACATAAGAATCCTAAAAAAACAAAAAGCATTATTAATTAGATCTTTGTTAGTTCTTAAGTTTTGTCCATCCCTCCTAATGTCCTCTGATGTTCTTATAAAACAGATAAGCTTATAACAAAACTTAACATTCCACTTACACAAGTGTCAGTTTGCTTTTTAGTAAGCTGGAGATATAGTTTTTAAAAAAGATAGGATATTATTTAATAAAATCAGAACAAATTTATTAATTTTACAGCTATAAATGGTGTTGTCCCAAACTGTAGTAAATTACTTCAAGTGTATCAGGAAGTGTTTTAAAATTTAAGTTAACATCTAATTTTGGAACTAAAATAAAGGCTGAAAAATCAAAGGTGTACCCTATCAAAATCTTGGTGATAGATGATTTCCAAGTTCACAGTAAAAAAAAACAAACAAAAAAATCATTATTTACATGCATTAAACAAATAAATTTTCCTTCATACCAAGGGCATGGATGTCACTGTACCACAAAAGATAAACGCTATATAAGAGCCTTATATATTGTATTACATTTATCTACCACTGTAGTTCCAAAATAACTCAAGTCATTAAATAGAAGTTTTGATGTCACACTACCACCATTTACTTTTCCCAAACAGAGCCAAAATACAATTCCAGGATGATGCATTGCAAATATGCCTTTAAGGCAGTGACTTTTTAATAAGTATTTAAGAGCTAATTTGCCTTTTTCTGTCAATGTCACTACTTTCTGAAGCTTATTTAAAATTAAAAACATCACTAACATCAAGTCAAGGCTCCTTTCCTTTCCATCTGTTTTCCTCAGTCTTCTACCTTGTCAGTCCCATTTCCCTCCTCGCCCCCCAGCACCTTAGATGGGAGACACAGTTTTAAAAATCACTTGCTATTGAAATCCATGAAATGAATGATGAAGCTACACAACCAAAGCAAGATCCACGCTTTATAAGCACATACTCTCACATGTCTGAATTGATACACAAGATTCTTAGTTCATTTTACAGATTCTGAAACCAAGTTGTTCAAAAGGTTAATTCTGAAACCATGGTCGTGTAACAAATGAATATATCAAAACAAAAACTTCATCCAAATATTTACATTTAAAAATTAGGCTACTTATTAAGTGTGC